TTAGTGTTTCTGTACTATTTTTAACCCCACATCATAACCTCTAAGAAGAGCCTTCCTTGAACTTTGAAGAACATTTAATAAGATAAGTTATCTTTGTCTCGCTTTATTCATCTATTATTTACCTGATCATTAAAACAAGAAAGTACTTTTTGTAATATACAATAAAAATTCTTTTATTCTCTTATACAATTAACCTTTCAAATACATTATTTACAGTAATTAATTAGCAAACGTAAATGTAAAGCTAAATAAATTATTTCAGTAGAATACAAATTAGAAGAGTCCTGGCCAGCATCAGAACATTTGACCAAATGGTCAAGACGTTCAAAAATCTGGTAAAAATACCCTTGCTTATTAAAACTCTTACTCTATTTGCCTCCGATATGCCCAGGAGCAGAGAAGATTTCCAAAGAAATAATGCATTTTCACTACAGCTTCAATACAGGTCTACCCTAACACCAAAACCCATGACCCAGGGTCAGGAAATTCACAAATTTGGTAGTACCCACGTCATGAGAGTTATGCACTTAGTTGAAGGTTTTCAAAGAATTAACAAATTTTCACTATACTATCAATAAAGCCCCCCCCCCCCAACATGAAACATCAGAACCCATGACCCTGGGACCACAAGCTTTAAAACAAGCACCCTTGTTCATCACATCATAACTATGCACTTTGTTTATCTGCTCAACACCAAGGAGCAGACAGGATTATTTAATAGAAGTAATGCATTTTCACTTTATTATCAAATGAGTTCCACCATTACATCAGGACATCTGGGCCAGGGGCCATGAAACTCATAACTCTGGAAGAAGCACTCTTGCTTATCATAACTAAACATTTATTTATTTATTTTTTTGCTTTATAACCAGTAACAAAAAAATATTTTCAAAGAAATTATGAATTTCACTATATAAGTAATAGAGCCCCCCTTTTCACAAGAACTGCCGACCCTGGGGCCATGAATTTCACAATTTTGTAGAGTGTTCCTTGCTTATCATACACTGTGCACTTACTAGTTTGTTTTATTATCACCCATGAGCAAAGAAGAAGATTTTCAATGAATTGATGCATTTTCACTATATAATCAATAGAGCCCCGGCCTAACACTAGAACCCCTGACACAGGGGCCATGAATTTCACAATTTCGAAGGAGGCAACCTATCTCATTATCTTCTCAATCGTCAACTTTCCTTATTTATGTAGTAATATTCCGCTATCACCTGCGTATGGTGTTTTTGTCTCCCAGTTCATTCGATACTCAAGAGAATGCTCTGAGTACAATCAATTTTTAAACCGAGGCAGGCTACTCACACATAAGTTGATGTTGCAGGAATTTCAACAACCTCATTTTAAGTCAGCATTCCGTAAATTCTATGTTAGTAATAATGACCTAATTAGCAAATATAATCTATCACTGGCTGGTTTTTTGGTTGACTTGTTTCATAAAAATTGTTAGGCCGTTGTTTTTCTACTAAATTTTACCATGGAATGTTCCGTCTACTTGATCAATATATAGGAGTCACAGCTGGTAAGATCGGTCAACAAGGGATGCTCACTCCTCCTAGGCACTTGATCCCAAATTCTGAATTTCCAGAGGTCCGTGTTTATCTATTGTTCACATATTTGTATTGTTTGTAGTTTTTGTTTTTTATGAAATCGATTATTATTCGTTATCTTCATCCTTTTTCATCGTATAAGATTAATGTATGACCCTACCTAAATCAAAATAGTAGGAAGCTTTATGAGCACTAGAGGATGAATTCATATTTACGTTTATTATATGTATCCATATAGTCCACTTGAAGATGAAATAATTATAAAGTATCAATCCCTAAAGAGCTTCTCAAATTCCCATTTTTTATTTTTTTTTCATGGCTTATTTTTCCATATTCCTTGATAAATAACTGTCCTAGCAATTCTTTGTCATTGCTCCTGATGAATAAATCTCCATTCTGTATTAAAAAACATTCATTTCAGGGCGACCCAACGACATGACCTATTTTCTAATATGTCTTTTGATAATGAATATTAATGAAAACTTTGTTTACCTCTGTCTGTGTAGCGTGTATGCTCTAATTCCTGAGATACGTGACAAACTTATTAGAAGTTTTGAACACATTTTGAACAAAATTAATTTCGAGTGAATTCTGCATCAATGACTGCATCAATTCAATCTAGCAATATTCTTATTAAAATTATTGATATACAATATATTATATGAAAAGGAAAGGGTCAATATCAGTATTTTTTTTTATTATCATTTACAAGACTTGCAAAAAAAATTAATAAAATCTGTTTTTGTCGTTTTCAATTAAAAAAATAAATAGGAACCACTTAATTGTTCGAAAATAAATAATTAAACAATAGAGAGAATTCCTACATAACATAGAATATAACGCTTTTAAAGTTTTTTTTTATCATTTGACCTTTCATTCCTTATTTACGGGAGGACTTTCCGAAAAAATAAAGAATTTCTTTTCGTTTTAATGCAAATTATGTGAATGTATAATTGTAAATGATAAAAGAAATATGCAAATTTGAAAATAGATTCATCCCTCCCTTAACATGCAAAGAAAATATAAATAAAGTGGGAAGATATATGGTTTACGTATTTATAATGAATTTTTTTCCCAAATTATTTTTATTGAACGAAATGAACATATTTCATTGAAAAAAATGTCAAATGGATTATAGAAATGCATTGGATATTAGACACGTAGTTAAGTGGTTGAAGCTTTAAAGAGATTGAGGTATATCTAAAATACTTTACGGTTCATGAAAAGTCTTTAACGCATAAATACATTATTTTTGTCCATAAGTACATGTTTCTACAAGAAAGTAGCCTAATAACTCAATTAGACAAATATTTATAGTCAAAACAGGAATGGGAACTTTTTTTATTTGACATTATCCTTTTCGCTGTGTAAAGTTACATGTACATACATATAACACATTCATTCTAGTATGTGCTAAGTCATGATAAGATTCAATGAATGAAAAGCATTAGCAATATCTTTAATTTACAGGTTACAAGTTATCCAGGGATTTTGAATAAAATTTCCAGTTTTTATCTTTATTTCTAAGTCGCAGTTGGTAAAAGTACAAATTTTACATAATTGGTCAACAAATGATTGTTAGGCTTTTTGAAATCCAAATTTTGTCATGGTCAGGATTTTCGATCACGTGGGCATATGGGATTGTTGTCAACAAAGGTCCTATATAAACTCGAGGAAGAAATTGAAATGCTTGTATACAATTACTCAGAGATAAAACAAAGTAAGTTGTATATGTCTCTTCTTTTAACATCTGCCATTTGTTTTTTTGCATGAAAATAATAATTACATGTATTTTCACTTTTACAACTGAGAGATTGTAGTACTGTTCTCGAAAGGGAAATGATAAGGGTGTTATTTTTTCTCTTTGCAAAAAATTCCAATATGTAAGCATACGTGATTAAGTCAATTTGAATTACATTTTTTATTTAACATTAGTAGCAAAAATATAATTGATAATTTTGTATAATTTTTTCATGCATTAAGGGTATAGAGTATCGTATCTATACTCAATACATTTATGTATTTAATCTTTCTTTTAAAAGAATTAATAATACGCTTAAATAAAACCACAAGAAATCTGAATTTATTGTTTATTAATGTTCAAATGACATATTTTACATTTTAAGTGATGATTTAAATATCTGGAGGCACTTCAAATTATGTATAATTATATTAATCTTTTTATTTTATTTAAGTTGATGATCTTCATAAATCTAAATTTTTATTTCTAAATCCTTTTCATATATTTGGAAAAAATAACAAAGGTTAAAGAAGGTGATATTTTTAAAAAAGTTTCAATTCAGTATAATTATTTTTCGTTTAATTGCTCTAAATTTTTTACGGATACTCAATTGCATTGTATTTCGTTTTATCCAGAAGTACGAGGGGTGATCAGAAAGTTTGCGAACTAATTGAATTACATTTATAAAAGAAATAAAATTAGATTTATGTGTGTATCATTTTTTAAAGAAGTCCCTTCCAATTTTAATGCATCTGCCATCATTCTGTCCATGCGCGAAACAAGTTGTCAAGGCGATCACGTGACATGCTCTCTACCGTTCTGTTCACAACAGATTTTTTCTAAGTATTATATTTATTACCACGCAGGTTATTTTTTATAACAAAATAGTCCATTTGTCACAAATGGCCAAATCTTGACAAAAGGTTGGGTGGATAAGGATATCTTTTACTAGGGTGAGCATTGTGACCATCATAACCCGACTCCTCTGTCTTGGATGCGTCGTTTTTATAAATGTTAATTAAGTATGGGCACGTTTTCTTTATCATATCTAATATGTTTAAAATCTTAAGTAAATGATATTTTAGGGATTTAATTATTATTTTATTGTTAAGATATTCAACTATTTTTCTAACTGTAACTTGGTGATCCTTCGTAACAAATTGCTCAACTAAAGACATATCTCTTTCCCTGCATACTTTCACTGAGCACAAGAACAAACACCATTTTCAACCATCCCCCTTTCTTCACTTAAACAATCAATCCAATTTATGATTGAATTCCTTGCAAGTCCCTTGTCTTCATAAACCATTTACAAATTATTATATCCCACTGCAAAGGAATTTCCAAGATTTACGTTAAACTTTACAGCCGTTCCTTGCTCGAATAAGATCGAGTCACCCATTTTTCGCCACAAGTAAATTACATATTGACGTCATTTTCACATTGTGACGTCATAAACATGAACCAAAACATTACGTAACATCTTCTATTTATAGAATGTTTTCACTATTTGTGTGCCAATTTCATTCTGATCTGAGTTGTGGTTTTGTAAATATAGAGATAGTTCGCGAACTTTTTGATCACCCCTCGTAGTCCCACTTTAGTAAAATTCTATCTCGGAATACAAGTATATTACCCGAAATTTTTCAGAGCATTGCCTTCTGAAATTTAAAATGCCTATTTTTCTTTTTAATTGACAGATGAAAGCTTTCCTCGTAGTTTTGCTGACTTTGTTTGTAATCGGTAAGTTTCAAAATCGATAAAAAAAATCTAAAACATATTAAGAAATCACATAAATAAAATACCTCGTAGGATGGTTAATGTTTCTTTATTCATTTACAAAGCTTTCGTGATGTCTTAGAATATCTTAGAATAAGACGGTTAGATTTCATTATCCATGTAAGTGTGGTCCAATTAGACAACGTTTATTTTTAAAATTGCAACATGCCAATAAACCCTGTAAGTTCGGTGGGGGTAGGGATATCAATAACTTAACTAATGACTTGAACAAGGAGCATATCCCGGGTTGAGGCAATTTAAGCTTTCGAAACCGCAAAGGGTGGTCAAACTGTTCAAACTCAAGTTATATTTATATAATTTGGGTAACAAATTCCATATAATTAAAGAACTAATTTCATTTTATGCATATAACGGCCCTGTTCAAATAGCAATCAACTGACTAAAACCCTATTTCCCATTTCAAAAATTGAAAAACAGGCTTTTTGAAATTGCAATGTTTTTAGATTTTTCAGAAAAATTTATATTTGAGTTCCTTCAGCAAAGAATGAAAATATGAACACACCCCTCGATCCAAAAACTAAAGCATGCTTTATAATTTTTTCAATAATTTTATATGAAATGTGGAGAGAACGAACAGTAGTCAAGCTCATAGTTCATTCAAACAATACACATCAGGAGCAGAGCAAACACTGACCTTCATAATTGCACATTTTGGATCAGAGGTATTGCTTTATTTGAAATGTTGACAGAACAGATCGAATTATTGCCTATTTTTGAAGTTATTTTTAGGATATAGGAAAAATGACTCAATTCACGACGTCATAATGCATTTATTTACTGCATTATCAACTAAAACTGAGCAGTTTTGATTTTTCAGATATTCACAGGACTAAAAGGGGGTCCTAAGAGAAGCTTCCTCATTTCTACAATTAAGTGAAGAAAATAAGACAATATATATTTTTTTTAAAATAATGGAAATGAGATTTACAAAGTTTAAATATATGCAAAAGATAATTGATTCATATATTTTGACGTAGGCAATATATATTATTTTATATAAACTATTTTTTATCCAATCAAATAGAACATTACAACCAGAATAGAATTATTTTAGGATGTACCAGCCCCAAAAGTTATAGATCAGATAAAAAATCTTAAGTCTTAAGCAAGTCTTATAATGTTCATCTCTAAATGCATAATTCTAACATTAAACTGACAATCATTTCTCAAACCATTTTTACAAATCATTTCATCTTGTCAACATCAAAAGATAATAAAGTTAAAGTTTAAATTACTGTTACTCTTTATCTTAATTTGGTTAAACGTACCAAAGTGTATTATATATGCAAAGTTACAAGCAAGCATTCGACTACGTATTTTGCAATAGTTTAAATGCACGAGTTAAACTAGACATGTTTCAATTAGTTTTATGCTCTAACCTTTCTTTTTTTTTTGTAGACACTACCATTGGGGCTAGTCGATTTCGTATCTTTGATTATAGCAGTCGCGTGCGTTCTTGGGAGCAAGCACGTGCTGCATGCCGGAGACTCGGTCGAGGCTGGGACTTGGTGAAAATCAATAACAGAAGGGAGGATAATATTGTCAAAACATTTCTGAGGGAGGAGTGTAGTAAGAGTCTTTATTTGATTTATGGAATCGAATGAGACAAATATGTCTGATGAATGTAGTAAAGTTTGCAATTGTTCATCATTTGAAATTGGTCGTAGAGGAGAGGGCTTATATAGGCACTACCTGCAGCCAAATCCATTTGTGTTTTATTACATAATAAAATATGTTAGAAAAAGGTTTTATCGGTCATAAAATGATCATTTTCAATGTATTTTATTGTAAAAACGTTACCCAACTCACCCTCTCCCATAAAATTACAATAGGTTAGATGTGAATTTAATTGGTAAATAGCAAATTGTAATACCTGTAAAAAGGAACTTTTGTTTCACGGGGAACGTTTTAAAAATATTTGCCGTTCTCCATTAATTTCTATGGTGAAAATCGCGAGCTCTGCCAAAAATACAGAGTATAAAGTTAATTTAATACGTAATTAAAATATCATGGTGATTCAATTAAATTTGTAATGAATTAAAGAAATAATCGGAAAATGAAAGCTTTTGAAAATTAACCTGGAGGTAGGCGGCGAAACAATAATCACCCTGCGCAGTTTTTTGAGGACAAAGTATTCTTCTCGGCTGCAGGCTAAGAAAAGTAGGGGTGTGGCTCTCCTTATCCCACCGCCTATATCTACTATTGACCTTTTCATACACTGAGTCCATGTTTCCTTGAGGCTATGTTTCAAATTTATGCGTATCGTGGTATTTTCAAAGAAACTAAAAATTCATAATGTTCGTGAAATTTTTTTTTCTCTTTTTGTTAATATCTAAAGTGATGATTTTTGAAATGTAAATTTGCAAAGAGACCTTAAATAACTGTTTTGTAAAAATAGCTCAAATTAATTGCATTAAATACATGTAGGTAATGAAATGAAAGAAAATTTTATCAATAAGTTTCAATTGTGAATATATTTTTTAAACAGGTAATTATGGTGATGGTTGGTTTATTGGCGGAAAATCTACAAACGGCAGATGGAGATGGGCAGATAACTCGAGGATGATATATAATAATTTTCCTCGACCTCTGCCTAGAATCAGTTCTGCTGGTCTTCTTCGGGGCGTTCCACAGTCGACCGTCGTTAACTATGCTGTTATTTTCAAAAGTGATTTTCAGTGGGGATATGTGGCTCCCCGTCCGTCACCGAGAATGGGGTACATCTGTGAAAGACAATGTCGTTCGCCGCTTTTGGGAATTGCCAATCTTGGGGTGGGAATGGTTCGTAATAAATAACTATGAAATAAATACATGCAATTTAAACTTGAAATCTTCGTTGTTGAATTTTTTTTACTCTTGTACCTTTTTTCCACATATTATTCACATCGTATTCTAAAATTTTTATTCAATTTTATCTTAAACTCATTTGATGAAGAGACAAAATATTACGAGGGCTCTTCCTAAGTCCTTTGGTTATTATTATTATTTTTATCATTATTTGCGTAGAAGATGGGTAGGAATACAATTTATCCATTCATTCATATATTTTCATTTTCCGACTCACTCCAATATCACTAAACTTTACTTTCTCGAAAACCAAAAAAAAAGAAAAAAGAAAAAAGAAAAAAACCAATCCAAAACATGGTACAAACAGCAGATTCTATATATTTAAGACAAAAGATTACTTGCTGCAAACAATGGCTTCATATATGAAACACAATTAATGTTTATTGATATAACTTTCCTTTTTAATTTTTACAACTGAACAATACATGTAAACGTAATTAATGTTAGTTATTTCAGATCCCAGAAGATAGATACATGTACCTTGAATTCTAGTATTTGGAAAGAGAGTATCATCCCATTTGACTAAATTGGTTTATGTAATCATTTTCATTTTAAGGTTAGAATATTTATTTATTGAGTGAAATAAATAATGAAATGAGGGAATATTAAAGAAAATAATGAAAACGTACGAGAGATTTTAGTCGATTGCGTTCATTTTTGATACAGATTGTCATTTACTGCCAATCACAAAATGCATTTTTGAACCTATAAATGCCATGAATCTCCATATTTTTCGGGCCTTTTAGGTCACCTGAGTCACTCAGTTGACCTATTGCTATCTGTTTTCGACCGTCGTCGTCCGTCGTGTGTTAACATTTGAACATTTTCAGCTTCTTCCCTAAAACCACTGAACCAATTTCAGCCAATTTTAACATATTGAATTATGGGTGAAAGGGAACATAATTTTTGAATTACATGGGCTCTGCCCCCTTGGGTCTGAGGGAGAGGGATGGGGCTAAAACCATCAAAATAAGCGCTATCTTTAAAAATCTTCTTAATTCTTTACTATTGGACATCAAGCAGTCAAACTGTTGGCATGGTTGTAATAAGCACTCAGCCCTCTACCAAAATTGTGAAAATTCAAGACCCAAGGTCAGGGATTCTAGAGTTAGGGTGGGGCTCTGTTGATCATATAGTGAAAATGCATAAATTCTTTTAAAATCTTCTTCTCTCTCCCTGTATGTAAAGCAGCTAAAATAGGTGCATGATTACGATGATCAAGGGCACCTCTTCCAAAATTGTGAAATTTGTGGCCCCAGGGTGAGGGGTTCTGCAGGAAGGGGGTTCTATTGATTATATAGTGAAAGTGCATTATTTCTTTGAAAATCTTCTCTGCTCAGCCGTCATGGTAGCTCAGTCGGTAGAGCGTTCGCTCCGTGATTGGAATCTCGCAGTGAATTCGAATCACGGCCGCGACTGATCTAAGTCGATAAAAAAAGGTAGGAACTATTCCACCGCCGGCGCTCGGCACTTTGAAGTGAAAGTTGCGGGTCCCTTAGATGAGACCTTAAAAACCGAGGCCCCGGGTCACGGCAGGCGTTTGCACGATAAAGATCCCTCACTGCTCTTTTAAAATCTTCTCTCTCCCTGTATGTAAAGCAGCTAAAATAGGTGCATGATGAGTGCCGAGTAAAGGTCTAAATTTGAAGCCCTTCACCGTTATATGGTGACGTCTTTCTATGAGTGAAAAATTCTCGAACGGGACGTAAAAACAACATACAATCAATCAATCAATCAATCTTGTCTGCTCCTAGGTAATTATCAGATAGAACAAGTATATAGTTATTATGAGCAAGGGCACCTCTTCCAAAATTGTGAATATCTTGGCCCCTGGGTTAGGGGTTCTGATGTTAGGGTGGGGCTCTGTTGAATCAACAATTCGTGAAAGTATGTAATGAAGTCCAAGCGTCATATCTAACTTCCAACACATAATAATTAAAATTCAAGAAATCAATAAGGACAATTCTTACACATTCTAAGCATATTCGTGAAAATGTAAGATTTTTTGTCCATCTGAGATGTCAATATTCATCAACCCGACGGGCGAGGTGAATATCATCGTATTGACCGAGAAAAAAGAGGAATTGTTCTACTACATGTATATGATTTATGATAACAAGATACAAACTTAGCTTGTTAAGTGAACCATGATATCCGCATGTGAGTTAAGGCTAGGTATTCATTTGGCGTTTTTATGCAAATAAGCTAATAAAAGGTATATTTATTATTCAGAGAAAGTGTTGGTTTATTTTCTTACGCATATTAATACCCACGCTATGTTATAGCTAGTACACATTATGACGTAATATTATGACGTCACTGATCTTTCCTACTGGAAGTAATAAAATACATCAACAAAACAGCTTCGGCGCAAGGGATTACCCTATTTATTTTTACATAAAAATTGTATAATGATAAGAAGAATATTCTATAGATTAATAAAACTGCTGCACAAATCCTAGGCATTTTCTCATTTTATCGGAATTTGGAAGAGACAAAAATTTAAAAAGTTGCTATGCATATAAATACACACGACTGTTGAAGGCCGGTAACACGGTTGAAATATTCCAAAAAGTGTTTCAAGTGTTTTATATATATATATATATATATATATATATATATATATATATATATATATATATATATATATATATATATATATATATATATATATATATATATATATATATATATATATATAAACTTCAGTAATATGGATTTTGAACTTTATCACGTGTTACTGGACACATGCTGCTTCTTCCTATATTATGCCACACTTTTAAATATGTCTGATAATATTTATCTTCATTTTCCCTCGGATTGAACTTTCATTGGTTTAAATGACACGTAACTGCCGGTGTAAAGACGAATAATAACCCTCGTAGAATAATGACCCTTTTGCCTGTAGAAAAAGTGGCATCACCCTTGAAATCTGCATACCGTGCTTGAAGAAAAAAAATGCCCCCCCCCCCCCCCCGAATAATGACCCCCTTTAAATTTTAATCGGGAAATATATGTATTTTTCTATTTTATTAAAAATCAAAAGCCAAGTGGACATAAAACATGTTCACCTGAGGTATACGTAAAATAAAGATACAGGGATAAAATGTTGGTTTCAATAAATCTTTCGAATAAAATGACATATCTTTTATAATAAATTGACGACATTAATCGACTTCAATCTACTATGTGGAAAAGCTTCCATTTTGATTTGACAAATGTATCATTGTTTTTAAGAGGATTTAGAGGTATTTTTTCACAGAGAGAAAGAGAGAGAATTGTTTAAAATCTATGATCAAGTTGCATTTGAGTGCATTCTTAGGTCTATGATTTTATTAACAGTGTACATACAAATTTTTGGACATATAGCAAAAGTTTCTTACAATTTGAATAGAAAGATTTATATGATGTTTTAGATACTTTTGGTACGTTTTCAATTAAACCGAGAGAAAAATCATTAATTAACTTTCCATTGTATATAGCAAACAAAAGTGGAGATACAAGCAACTTTACCTACACTGCAAGTAAAACTTCCTTGAAACCCCAGAAACTGCAAAGGAATGGCGTCAATAGAATAAAACATGTTCACGCAGATATATCATATCTCGTCCCCAAAGTTCAGTCAATCCATGTATTCTATACATGTACCACCTTTCATTTTCTGCATGCTCTCCTTTATCAGAGGAATAATAAATCTTGTTTTGTGAAATATGGAGATAACGAACAGTATTCAAGCTAAAAAGTTCATTTAAACAATACAGATCGGGAGCAGTGCAAACACGGCCCTCCAAAATATCAGAGATGGGATCAGGTGCTATGGAGGAGTAAGCATCCCCTACGCTGTGTGCTCCTTGTCATGATCTGGCAAACCAAAAAATCCGTACAGAATACAGTGTGTAAATAAAGGTCTAACAATTGGTATGAAAAACGTCAGTTTCATCATTCGACTTAGTGATTGAACTTGCTGACAAGGTCACTGTATCGACCACTGAACTTGCAAAATGATGACTTCAAACAAGACTGTTGATATTCTAGTGTCATTAACTTGTTTGTCAATAGCTTACCTCGTTTTAGAAATTGTTCGTACGTAGAGCATACTCTTGCGTATCCAGTTAACTGGGAGACATAAACCCCATTTGCGGGTGATGAGGGTATATTGCTACACAGTTGACAAAAGAAAAATTAAAGCCATCATTTATCATAAAGTTTTGTTGTTAGATTACCATTAACGTCTTTTTCTAGTAGAATATCCAAATATGAAACAGATGTGTCAGACTCTGTGATATCTTTTATTTCAAGTTCACTTGGATATATCGAGTCGAAGTATGAATGGAATTAACTATTATTAACTGATAATACGTCGTCGATATATCTAGATGTCGAGTTGAAGATCACAGCAAGTGTCTTTTTCTTCTCATGTATAAGTTTTTGAATAAATATTGCTTTATATGAATACAAAAATATGTCTGCTAATTTTACTCATGGGAATCCCAAAAGATTGTTTGAAGACCTGATCTCCAAACAATATAAAGATATTGTCAATCAGAAACTCAAGCATCTTTTTATCATCAACGTCAGGGTACTTGTGTGTACAATCAGAATGATTTTAACAAAAAAAAATTGCAAATGATCAATGACAAGGTAAGAAAATTAAAAAAAAAGAAAGAAACATCAAATCTGTTCGAAAAAAAAATTCATATAAATCGCTAAGTTGTCCATGCAATTACCCGGTTCGTCTGAAAATTTCAAAACAATTTCATCTGCTTTCTTCTAAGTGTGATATGGTGAAATTGTTATAATGTATTTTATATTCTAAAATTATACATTTGACAAAATAATTTTTGGTAAAATAATTGTTCCCTTGATTGGTTTTGAACCGTGTTACTTTAGATTTCGAAGCGAGCTGCCTATCCACTGGACCATGGAGTAATACGACCAATGTATCGTAAATTATTTAAATAACGTAATATCAAAATATTCTTA